GGCGTAGGCTGGCTCGCCGTGACCGTGCGAGTCCAGCATGAGCCTCAGCGTGCTCGCGGCGGCAGTCTCGCGAGATGAGCGCGTGAGGTCGTGGTTCAACCTCCTCCTCGCACCCCTTGCCCTCCTACACCTCACTCGCTCCCGCTCAAACGCAAGCACGGGCTGCTGCTCGACGTGACAAGCTCTGGGACTGCATCTACAACCCACCCACGCCATGGACATGCCCAGCAAGCCGGCCGTCTCGCACGACCCTCCGCCGCCTGTCCAGGTCGTAGCACGGCCAACGCGACTCCTGGACTTGCCTGAGGAGCTTATCCGACGCATCTTCGGGATCGTGTTCGATGGCCTTCTCGAAGAGTGTGAATTGGCGCAGTACGAGTGCGACCCATTCCCGAGCCGCCTTCTCTTCCGCTACCGTCGTCCGTCACCACGCCAAGTTCCGCGTCAGCAGATCCAGGTCAGCAGCGGTCTGTACAACTCCCTCAAGCAGATCTGGGACGGTTACCTCGCCCTCCAGGCCTCGGAAGCTCGCGCTTTCGACGAGCCTTTCTCCGCCTTGGGCAACAACGTTCGCTTCCTCGATTTGGCGGAACACGAGCCTTGCGATTCCTTTCGCATGTCCGGCCAACACGATCTTGACCTCGACGACTTCAAGAGTCGGCGGAAACCTCCGTCTTTCGACTTTCTGATCGCTTTCTCGCGCCTCACCACTCTGCGCGCCACGTTCTTCGGTGGAATACCCCGTACTTTCACAGACGCTCTGCGGTACCTTCCTCATCTCTCCGACCTCACACTCCAGTTTCATGGCGGCATGGGCGATGCTTGCTTCACGTTCGGCGAATCGACTCTCGCGTTGCGTCATCTGGCGCTCACGGCCGAAGCGACCGAGGACGAGGATTTGCGTCAATTGCTCACGAATCTGCCATCAACTCTCGAAGAATTGCGCTTCTACTACACCTTTCCGGCCGGCCTTCCGATTCCGTGGTACAGCGTTCCGCGACTTCACCTATACTCGCCTCGAGGTTACTTCCGCGATCCGGGCTTCGTCATCCAGGATCTCGAAGCGGTGTTCTCGCCGGAAGTGAGCCAGACTTGCTTCTCTGCTCTGATGAGCGAGGTTGACCAAACGCATCACGCTCTGGGACAGAACCCCCGCCAGGTCGTCGTCCAGGAGCTCACCATTCAGGTTCTGAGCATCAGCTTGAGCAAGTGCAAGACACCCGGCTCGGTGTATTATGAGGAAGTCATACCGACCATGCTCGAGCTCATGCAGCTCGGGTCTCCAATCAAGCACCTTCGCTTCCTCGACTTCACCGAGCTCAGATGGTGGCAAAACAACATCCGCATCGTCTCAATCGAATGCGTCACGCTGCTCGAACGTCCACCTGACCCCGACTATCCACAGGTGCGTTTGCTAGGTCTGCCTGCTCAAACCGCAGCTCACAAGCGGGTCGTCACAGAGTTCCGACGGAGGGAACCTCGCAAGCCTCGTGCCCTTCCTCAGCATGTTCCCCTCGCTCCAAAAGCTCGTTTTCTCCGGCTTCGAGCTTCTCACCAACGAGTCTGTCGCTGAGGCGCCGATTCCGCCTGGCTCCTTCACGACCTTCGTCCAGCACGAGCCTGGCCTCTCCCGCCTTCTCTACAACCTGCAGATCAGCAGGGTGGTGGAGGTGACGTACAGGACGAGCGCGAAGAGCCTTCGCGAGTTGCGTATCAGGCGCGACAGGCCGGCGGCGCCTTGGGAAGGCGAGTGGTGGAATGTGTAGCTTCGATTGCATGCCATGTCAAAAGCTTTGCCTCAGTAGCGTCCGTCAGAGCGTCGTCGTCACATACCGTTACGGAAGACGTTGCAAGCGCGTCAGCGTCGAGGACTCGAACCGAGGGACCGACGGAGCAGGGGTCGGCGAGCAAAGCGTCCGAGAGCGCTAGCCTCGCTCCTCCCGAACAGCCCAACCTGTGGGGGTATGGCGCTGGCGCGTGGCGGCGAAGAGGAGAGAGCCTGCGAGTGCGGAGCGGCTCGTTACGCGTCCTCGGCGAGACGGGCAGGACGGTTACCAGTCGCTCCTACGAAGGATCTGGCCACATTGCAGCGTTTCGTGCGAGAGGCGGTTTCAAGCAAAGCGGAAGCGCAGCCAAGCAGTTCGAATGGGAGAGCGGGAATCGGCAGGAAACGCGCTGGATGGCGCGATCTGGTCGCGTTTGCTCGCTGCCTCAAGCACGACCACCGTAAGTGAGCGAAATTCGTGAGGAAGCAGCAGCAATACAGCATGCGCATGGTGCCGGGAAAGTCGAGATTCGCGAGCGAGTATATTGGGTTGTAGGGGAGAGACGAGTTCGTTCCCAGTTCTGCGGGCGCCTAGGTCAGTTTTGAGCGGCGTGAAAT